CAGGGGCGGCGGGGGCGAGTCCTGGCTGGCCTTGCCTTCCTGCCTGGCCGGGAGAGGGGCCCCCGACCCAGAAAGGGGAACCTTGGGGAGACTGCCCGGCTCCTCGTCGCCGTGGTAACCGCCATCCTCTTCCTCTGGATCCCACTCCTCCTTGTTCATGATGCTCAGGACGTCGCCCAGCATGGAGGGCCCCAGGTCAATGTGGAAGGACATGATGGATTCGGCGTGCTTCAGCCCGAAGCCGGCCTTGGGCATGACGGGCAGATCCGTCAGGTCCCCGAAGGCCCGCTCGTCCAGGAGGGGGTCGAGGGAGTGGGGGGAGGTGGCCCCGTTCCGCCGCCGGGGCCCCTCCTCCACACGGGCCGCCTCCGGGTCCCCCTCCCCGCCGTTGGCCTTCTTCACGGGGCTGGACGACAGGCTCTTGGGCAGCTTGCCGGCGCCCCTCTCCGCGGCCTCCTTCTCGTTCAGCTGGGGCAGGGACATGGCGTTCTTGACAAACAGGGCCGAGTCCCGCAGCGAGCCCAGCATGTCCCTCTGCTCCCGGTCCCCCCGGGTCACCGACTGCGACCGCTTGCTGCCCCGGAACTTCCGGGACAGGAGGCCGCGTTTGGAGGACGAGGTGGACGCCTGCTCGTCCAGGGACTCGCCCTCCAGCTCCCCAGCCTTGCTGTTGAGGAAGGAGGTGTCCCCAAAGGCGTCCCCCGCCCGGCCCACGTGCATGGTGTGGCGGAAGTCGCCCAGCGGCGCGCTGATCATCTCGGCTGCGACCGCTTGCTGCCCCGGAACTTCCGGGACAGGAGGCCGCGTTTGGAGGACGAGGTGGACGCCTGCTCGTCCAGGGACTCGCCCTCCAGCTCCCCAGCCTTGCTGTTGAGGAAGGAGGTGTCCCCAAAGGCGTCCCCCGCCCGGCCCACGTGCATGGTGTGGCGGAAGTCGCCCAGCGGCGCGCTGATCATCTCGGCCGTGAGGTCCGCGCGGGAACGGCGCTTGGAGTGCACGGAGCTGGACACCAGCTGCTTGAGGATGGGCATCGTGCCCGAGGGGAGGGGGGGGAGGCAGGGCCTCCGAGGCTGCAGGTGAGGCTGGCGTCAGATGTGAGGTCCCGCGGGTGGAGGGAGCGATGAGGAAGGGCTCATAGAGCTGCAAGGAGAGAACAGCAGGAGAGGGTTAACCTGGGCTGGCCTCGTGCACAAAAGCCCATCTGCCTGCCCCCAGGCTGTTATTCAAACCCCAGCTCCCACCCAAAAGAAACAATAGGACAGGAGCCAGCAATCAAAGCTATAACCCCGCCCTCTTTCTTCACCCACAGGTTCTCAGGGGCGGGGACTGCTGTTTGCAAAGCTGTTTGGAGTTCAAGGAGCCACAGACACACATTCCCTGAAACCTGAGAGAGAGAGAGAGAGAGCTTTCTTCCAAAGGACAATACCGGCCCCGCCCTCCACACCTCCGCCCAGCCAGGATGCTGCCAGAGCCAACAGGACCGCATTTAAGGAGGTGGAGGTGCAGCCCCGAGGCCACAAAGCAGTGAAGGAAAGAGTCAGACAGAGGCTAGGACTCGGCTCCTCTGAGCAGCGCGTCTGGAGACACCTGGAAAGTTCTTCCTGCTGCCTGACCTCGATCCCTGTGAAGTCAGTGGACACCTCAACCTGAGTCACCGTCCTCAGAGGAGGGAGAGGACAGGACAGGCCCCAGGGCGCTGCTGCCTGGCACCTCAACCCACGTGGGCGGCCCGGCTCACTCTCTGAATCAGAATTGGGGTGGGGTTGGCGGCAGGATTCACAGAACCAGCTCCCCAGCCTTGCAGTCCTTGCTGGGTGTCCCTCAGAGGAGGATCCCGCCTGCGATGTCTCCATCGTGGGGCCCAAGCTCTTTGTCAAGGATCCACCCTCTGCCCCTGGGGGAGATCAAGACTGGGAGACTCTCTCCCAATTTCTTTAATCACTAGGGGTGCAAGGAGGCGGGGACCCCAGATGACCCAGCTCCCTGGGATTTGTGGAACGGCAAAGGGCTACCTGAAAGCATGAGGCACCACCCAGGCAGCTCCTGGCAAGGGTCAAGTTCAAGTTCAGTGTTGGAGCCAACCGGGCCCCTTTCCCTCAGGAGGGACCTGCCCCAAATGCTAAACCCAACAGCATAGGACCGAGCAGGGTGGGGAGAGATGGGCGCAGGAACTTAGCAAAATATGTGGGTGAAGGGGGGTGCTGGGTCACCAGTCCTGCTAAGAGCACCATTCTCAACAGCACCCTCATTGCAGGCCCATCCTTCCCCCATGCCAAGTTCAACCCGTGGGTGCCCCACCCGAAATTCTCCCTCCCTCCTGGCCCCCACTACTTCCCCCAGGCTAGGCCACCGCATCCCACCTGCCCCGACATCAGCCCAGCAGGCCTCCCTGCTGCTCGTGTCCCTTTCTAGTTCATTAGCTAAAACAAAACCCTATCGGACTCCCCAGGGCAGACCCCCTGGTCCAGCATCAGACACTGTATCCCTACTCGATGCCACCGCTTCCCGCTCCCCTATGCCCGCGCTCTGCCCCGGCCCCCGAGCCTCTCTCTCCTGGGCTCCAGGACTGGACACACGCAGTCCCCGCTGGGATACCGTCACCTGGCTCACCCAGCATCCTTCAGGGCTCCGCCGAGACACCACTTCTTCTGGGAGACTGTCCTTAGCCAGGTAGAGTCCTGCCCGCCTCCTCTCCTTCCATCCCCCCACCCTCCAGCAGGCACAGTTACACTGTCCCACCCCTGCCAGCCGGACTGCAATCCCCCCCTGGGCTGGGAGCTTCCAGAGGGTTCCGACAGGCCTGCTCACCGCCGGATCCCACCTTCCAGTGCAGCGGTCGCCAACCAGTGGTCCACGGGCCACTGGTGGTCCTGGAGGTCCGAAAGGCTGGTGACCGCTGTTCCAGTGCATGACACAGCTGGCCTCAAACACCTCCCCTCCCCAGCCTTCTCAAGGCCAAGGACAGTGCTGGCTTCGCTTCCGCCGACAGCCCGGCTCCAGGCTCCCGGCCTGACCTCTCTGTGTCCTCTAACCCCATCCCACGCTCTCCTCCGGGCCCAGCTGCTGAGGCCAGTCTCATGGCTCCCCCCTCCAGCAAGTGCCCCTCCTCCCCGCAGGCAGTCACACTGCTCGTCACTCCAGCAAAGTTCTCCAGGCCCCAGGGCAGCCCTGCCGCCAGCTCAGAGCCAGGTGAGGACCGTGCCGGAAGGCCTTGACATGACCCACTATGCCGGGCAGCTCTCCCTCCTCGCTCTCTTCTTCCTCCCACCCAACCCCAGGAAAAGCAGCTTCTTCTACCCTACCCTGCACCCTCCTGCTGCCCACGCCCTGGGACCTGACCTCTCAACAATGAGCCGGGAGCAGCCAGACCAGGGACTGGCAGACACTTTCTTTCTTTCTTTTTTTTAAAACCACCCCAAAACGGATTCTCTCTCGCTCTCCCTCCTCGCTCTCTTCTTCCTCCCACCCAACCCCAGGAAAAGCAGCTTCTTCTACCCTACCCTGCACCCTCCTGCTGCCCACGCCCTGGGACCTGACCTCTCAACAATGAGCCGGGAGCAGCCAGACCAGGGACTGGCAGACACTTTCTTTCTTTCTTGTTTTTTAAAACCACCCCAAAACAGATTCTCTCTTTTTTTTTCTTTAATGCATTTTTATTGATTTCAGAGAGGAAGGGTGAGGGAGAGAGAGATAGAAACATCAATGATGAGAGAGAATCATTGATGGGCTGCCTCCTGCAAGCCCCCCACTGGGGATCGAGCCCACAACCCTTGACCGGAATCGGACCTGTGACCTTTCAGTTCCCAGGCCAACGCTCTATCCACTGAGCCAAACCGGCTAGGGCTGGCAGACATTTTCTACGGAGGGCCAGACAGTCGAGATTTCCGCTCTGCGCCTGCAAGCGTCTTCGCCGTAGCTACGCAACTGTCTTTGCAGTAGGAAAGCAGCATCGGACTCCATGTGAACGAACGGGTGTGGCTGCGTCCCAATAAAACTTCATTTCCCAAGACAAGCGGCGGGCCGGATTCGGCCTGTGGGCCATAGTTGGCTGACCCCTAAATCAGACACATGAAGGGCACTGGCCGTGTGGTCCTCCCCTCACCACTGCTCCGGGCCCAGAGCTCTCTCCACGTGCTCCAGGCCTCCGGGAGGTAGCGTCCCTGGTCAGCTGCCAATACCCAAGGAGCAGCCCTCCCCACTTCCGGCTGGGGAGGGCGGAGTCCCGAGAAGGGAGGGACCCGGCTGCTCCCTGGAGAAAGTTCTAGTCTAACCCTGGAGCAGATCTGGCCCGTGGAGCCCCATCATTCCTTGCGGCGGGGCTGTCCTGTACGCGGTAGGATGTTAAGCAACATCCCAGGCCTCGACCCATCCGATGCCAATTGCATCGCTTCCCCAGCCGTGACAACCAAAACGTCCCCAGAAATGCCCGGTGTCCCCTGGGAGGCAGCATCACCCCTGGTCTAAGAACTGCTGCCCGGAAGTGAGGACACGCAGGTGAAAAAAAAGCCAGCGAACAAAGGTGAACAAACAGGAAGAGAAAAAGAGGGGGAGGGGAGGGAGGGGACATAAAGTCAGACTGGTGGGAACAGGGACATGAGCCCAGAGTCCCTCGAGGGTTTCGACACATGGGCAGGAATCCCCGGCCCAGAAAGCAGCTTGCAGCCTGTGGTTTCCGATCTCAAGTGCTTGTGAGAGAACAAAAGGGAAACCGCAGGCCCAGCTGCCCAGGGCTCAGCGGGACGGACCCTGTGGCCACCCACAGGGATCGGGTACCCCGGCCACACGGCCACAGGACAGGGGGTCCCCTCGGAGCACACCCTCCCGGCAGGGCTATGCAGCAGAGTGACGGGTACGCAGGGAAACCCCTAGACCAGCCGCGGGACACCCAGGGCCCTGCAGGGCCCGACCCCCCAAGAAGGCAGAGACAGGTCTGGCCTCTCTGGGGGCGGGCACGAGGCTCTGCGGCTTGTGCAAAACCAACCATCTTCCATAGCCAGCAAGAAAAGGTCCCGAGAGGGGCTGCAGGACCTACTAGTCCCAGGGAAGGGCTGGGGCTCTGTGACCCTAGAGCTGGAGAGCACACTGGCAGGCCAGGCTTGAGGGCTGGTGGGAACCCATGGGGCTGTTTTAGGCCCCCGAGTGACGACTTCATCCTAAGCGTCTAACACAGCGGTTCTCAACCTGTGGGTCGCGACCCCTTTGGCGGCCGAACGACCCTTTCACAGGGGTCGCCTAAGACCACCCTGCATATCAGATATTTACATGATGATTCATAACAGTAGCAACATGACAGTGATGAAGTAGCAACGAAAATAATTTTATGGTTGGGTCACAACATGAGGAACTGTATTTAAAGGGCCAGAAGGCTGAGAACCACTGTTCTAACAGGAGGATGTGGGGGTGAGATGAACACAGGTTCCAATACAAGCAGGTGGCCCGGGCCGGGCCTGGGGCCAAGTTCAGGAGGCCCGGGGGCCCTCCCTCCCCCACAAGGGGAGCTGCCAAGGGAGCCGTGGCTCTGGGAGGGGGTGTGGCTCAGTGCCGTGACTCAGCTCTGGGGAAGTGGCTGAAATGGGCCTCAGAGGCCAGGGCGGCCACTCCCCAGAGCCGGTCCCGGGCAGGACACCCCCACCCACCCCGGAAGCCACATCCCACTCTCCTGGCAGTGACCACAGCTCTCCATCTCTCCCGGCCTCTGGTGGAACCAGATTCCTCTACCCTCGGCCCCACTGACCACAGAACATTCCTTCAAGGCAGAAGCTACTGAAGGCCAGGCTCCCTGGTCGGTCCACTCAGCCCACACCCTGGGCTCAGCTCCGCTCCAATCCCATCCTGGGACCAGAGACACCCCCCCCCCCCCGGGCTCCTCATCAGCTTGTCCTACAGCCACTAGGCACACGGCAGGCCAAGTCCCGGGCAGGGGCCTGTCCCTGGCAGCCTGGCCCGCGCAGGAGATAGTGCTGGGGCAGCCAAGCAGGCCTCCCGCTCTCCAGCTGACCCGCAGCTCAACCCGGAACACACAGGACACATGCTGCACACCCACTGCTGCCCGGCCCCCTCCACAGGTTCCCGGCTGTTCCAACCCTCCACCCGGTACCAGCACCAGGCAGCGTGGCTGGACAGAAGGGGCCTCGGGCATGGCGTCATTTGTGGCTCAGAATGACCACAAGAGGCTTCATTCATTACTTTTTTTTTTTTTTAAGATGTTTGTATTAATTTCAGAGACTGAGAGGAAGGGAAAGAAACAGTAATCGGCTGCCTCCTGCACGCCCCCTACTGGGTATCGAGCCCACAACCCTCGAATGTGCCCTGATGGGGAATCAAACCGTGACCTCCCGGTTCATAGGTCGAGCCACACCGGCTGGGCCATTCATTACTCTTTCTCTGTCTCTGCCTCGCTCTTTCCCACTCCCTCTCTCATTCACTGCATACCCATCCATTTTCCCACACTCCTCTGGGCCCTGCAGACACAGCAGTGAAACAGGGTTGGCCACACCCCTGCCCTCCCCAAACAGAGTATGTGTGTGGGGATGGGGGGTGGGGTGGGGGGGGTAGAGAGCTCAGCTGTAAACAGGCAAACAGAACGGCACCTCGCAGTCCTCACTGTCCAGACGGAAACAAGGTGATGGAGCGTGGGTGAGAGTCGGGGGGCTGGGGGCCCCTCTGATGAAGGGGCACCAGTGAGCTGAGAACAGAAGGATGAGA